TTTTCCTTCCAAAACATATTCTTTAAAAATCTTAGTTTAATAAAAAAAAACCAATTCCATTGAATTTTTTAATACTGGGTCATTAGATGCATTCAAAATTAGCCTGCATTCTAATCCACACAGTATTTGCATTTTATTGTTCCAGTATTTGTTCTACACACACACACACACACATACATAACCACTGTTTAACCAACTCTAACGCTAAGTGCATTGTGACCCAATATTATGGCATTATGCTAAGCTCATTTTTAAACTTGAACCTAATTAACATTAATACTCATTAACTGGTTCACAATTAGAGACAGCAGAAAACTACCATTAAAAAAGTTCTTTTCAGCAAGGGAGAAGAGGGGGCAGGGCACACAACTACTACTACGGTAAAACTGCAGTACGGCAAGGGTAGATGAAAATAAATGGAAATTTTCTATGCAGAACAATGAATGGGGTGGTTAGATGAAGTTAGGAGTAATTCGTAAAATGGTATTAAAAAACTAGTGCGGAATTTTACAGGACCATCAGAGCCACAAGTGTGGAATTTAATAGAATATTTTTTCAAGGCCTGAATTTTGCGTGGATTTTAAGAATATTTTTAAAAGATAACAACCAGGCCTGGATTTAAGAAATATATTTTCAAGGCAGCAATCAGGCTGAATTTTTTAAAGAATATTTTTCAAGGTTACCATAAGGCGAGGATTAAAAAAATATATATTTTTTCAAGGCTATCATAAGGCGGGGATTTTTTAAAGAAAATTATTTCAACGCAACAACAAGGCGTGGGTTTTTAGAAAACAGTTTTTCAAGGCTACCAGAAGACGTGGATTTTTAGAAAACAGTTTTTCAAGGCTACCAGAAGACGTGGGTTTTTAGAAAACTGTTTTTCAAGGCTACCACACGACGCCTATTCTAGACCTTAAAAAATATTAAAAAAAATTCACGCCTTTTCTGGTTCTTAAAAATATAATCTTTTTAAATCCACGCCTATTTTAGACCTTAAAAAATATAAAAAAAAAATCACGCCTATTCTGGTCCTTAAAAATATTTTTTTTTAAACCACGCCTATTCAAGATCTTAAAAATTTTTTGTTAACAAATCCACGCTTATTCTGAAACTTAAAAATATGTTTTAATAAAAAATCCACGAATATCCAGGACCTTAAAAACATTTTTAAAAATTTTTTGAAGCCTTGAAAAAATATATTTTTTTTTTATTTCACGCCTAGTCCGATTCTTGAAAAATATATTTTTTTTCAAGGCTACCAGAAGACGTGGATTTTTAGAAAACAGGTTTTCAAGGCTACCAGAAGAAGTGGATTTTTAGAAAACAGGTTTTCAAGGTTACCAGAAAACGTGAATTAAAAAAACAGGTGAAAAAGCGTTAAGTTCTGCCGGGTCGAACTTTGGATACCCTCCACCATAGTTATAGTGACAGGTACTTGAAATTAATATATAGGGAATATACCAAAAAGTGACCTTTCTCCAAACTGATTATGTAAACCATACACTCAATTTTATGGCTAATAGGGTGTATACACTTTGATACCGTAAAAATGTGCCTCATCGACCAAATCCGTTTCAGAAAATTGTGATTTCATCCAAACTTTGCCTATCTTATTATTTCTTCCAAACTTAGTTCAAGTTCGAGGATGAGGAATATCGGTGAATATCCGTCCTTCTGTTACGTCCCACACAGGGGCTAGGTCTATGCATAAATCCGGCCTATAGTTAATATACATATAGTTCGTTATCGAACCTTACGTTCTAGTTTTTTATGTCGATATCCTCCGCAGGTGAAATGATTACAACAGCGTCTTAGAATCAAACCCAAAACGCTGAACAAATCAGATAACTATTTCAATATAAAAAGGGTGTATATTAATATTTTTTGCTAGGGAAATTTGTTACCATATACTACTACAAAATACTAAATTGCAGCTCAAGAACCCCAAAATACCGAAAATTGGGAATATCCCTATATCCGAAAAAATTTACCTATATTCATACTTTTTTGTAGAGAGTTTTGGTACCTATTAAGAACTCAAAATACTAAATTACGGCCAATTCGGTGGAAAAATACGATCAAATCCACCAAAATACTGAAAATTAGGAGTTACCGATATATGGGGCTACCAGAAAAAGTGGACCAATATTTATAATTTTTTTGTGGAGACATTTAGTACCCAATAAGAACCCAATGTACCAAATTTCAGCGAATTCGGTTGAGAAACGCGCTCAATAACCCCAAAATATCGAAAATTGGGGGGTACCCCTATATGAGGGCTTTCCGAAAAAATTGACCTATATTTATAATTTTTAGTAGGGAGATTTGCCACCCAATAAGAACTTAAAGTACCAAATTTCAGTGAATTCGGTCTAAAAAGGCGATCAAAACCCCCAAAATACCGAAAATTTGGGGGTACCCTTATGAGGGAGCTATCCGAAAATTGCACCCATATTTATAATTTTTAGTGTGAAGATTTGCTACCCAATAAGAGCTAACAGTACAAAATTTCAGAGAATTCAGTTGAAAAACACGCTCAAGAACCCAAATATACCGAAAATTGGGGGGTACCCTTCTATGGGAGCTATGCCTAAACGTGGACCGATGTAGCCCATCTTCGAACTTGACCTGCTTGCAGACAGGTCGTCATAATATTTTACGCTGATCAGGAATATATACACTTTATAGGGTCGGAAATGATTATTTCGATGCGTTACAAACGGAAAAACAAAACTAATATACCCTCCATATTATTGGTCCTAGACTCACCTTTAATTAACCGATCGTCATATCTCAACTAGCTGAGTCGATCTAGACATGTGTGTCCGTCCGTCCGTCTGTCCATTATAATTTGTAAACACGATACAGACCACAGTTATGGACCAATCTTCACGAAATTTTGCATGTAGGAAGGGCTTTGGCTAGTGAGGACCCCTATTGTTTCTGGTAAAGATTGGTTAATATTTAGGGGATGGTATGGACCAAATATTTAATAATTTGTCGGGTTTTCTGGTCGCTCTAGAGGCCGCAAATATGACCCGAACATCGCGAAATTTTACATGGAGAAGAGGATTGGGACAGAGAATATGCATGCCTGCTTTGGACCCTGACTTTTGTGTGAAAAATTACAATCTTTGTATTCTATGGCTTATATATATACTCGCGAAGCATATAAATCCACGAAGTTTATAGTGCATCCAAGAGGAATGGTTGACCTTCAAAATGACTCCAATTACATTGTCGTATTTACTCGGCTGTGGGAGTTACACACAAATATTTACAGGTGCTTACGTATTCAGATATTATTTAGTAACCCATTACCTCATTAGAAGGCGGAAATATAGCGCTGATTCCTTTAAAATTTTCCATGAAGTTTCAAATATGGTCAAAGAAAACGCCTATAATTTTCGATTATGATCTGATTTAAATTTTGGGATGAAGTGGATCGAAAACTCATTTTTTTTTTTGTGAGTGTTTTCTAGTCGAATATAGGGAACATCACAACACAACCCACCGTGAAGGGAATCGGAATAAACATCCGAGTTCCGAGTTGTGTAGGGTATCGTATGGTCGGCCCCGTCCGTCTATACTGCTCCGCCCACTGGGTTTTAATATGTTTTTTCATGGTCCAACAGAGGGAGTGGTTTTTTATAGAATAATTTTCTAATGAAAGAATGGGTGTTTTTTTACGAAATATTTCCAATTTTTTAATTTCAAAAAAATCTTTGATGGACTTAGAGGAGTGGGTTTTGAAGTATCACCAATAATGTGTCCAAAGCAAAGACTCAAAATCCATAATCTCATGCCTGATCTGCTGAAATGTTTTTTTTTTTCTTTTATTTAATTCCTTTGAATTATTGCCACTTTCCTTGTCATCTCCCTCTCAGTTTTTTTTATTACCGGACTTCATCCTGTTCTTTTAAATTAATACCACCGAGATACCGATGACATATTTCGTCTTTCCCGTTTTATAATCCAAACCATTTATTTTCGTTAGTTATAATCCTCTGGGCAATTTTTCCTTCTTACATTTATGCATTGCGGATAATATCTGGCATTTCAACATTTTGTTTGATTTGATGATTTTAGCCGCTATATCCTCGGCTAATTCACATTTTTTTTTAAATATTATTTTACATTTTAAGTTTTATCTGTCGCACATCGAGATGACAGGCCATAAATTTTATGAGACTTGAAATTAAATTAAGTAAAACTGTAGACCACAAGGAGCGAAAAAAATCAAAAAAATGTAGTCATAAAAATTACGATGAGAAGACATATTAAAAAAAATAATGAAATTAAAATCCAGGGTGAAGAGAGGGGATGGATAATATTTTATAACATAGAAATTGCAGATTTAAATATACCTCCTTCCCTCCCTCTCTTCCTGTTTTTTCTGTAGTTGTAAGAAATATAAGTAAATCCATCAGCCCTCTTTAATACCGCCTCTAAAAACCATCCCTCTCTTTTTCATATTTGTTCTCTCTGCAAACTCGAAATAAATCCACCACCCCCCTCTGCTTGTTTCTGTTATTAAAACAATTTTTGTGGCGTGTTGCCGGTAGGGTCATTATGTGGCCTCTTAAAGTTAATTAACTATAAAACAAAATTGCCAAGCTACTGCCGACTGTGGCCCCTGGCCCCGGCAATGACCAACAAAAACGATACTTAAAATAATATAAAAAATAAAATTTGAAAAACATACCCGCACATAAACATAAGGTCTGGGCCATAGACAAGAATTTTTAATGGCAAACAAACTAACTAAACCCAGTTAGAGACAGACAGATAGACAAACAACTAGACACAAATATTCCACACAGACCTTCTGTTCGAGCGTTTGTTTGTTGTTTGCTGCTCCATTTTGCATAATTAAGTTGTAACAATTTTTTTTATTTATTTTTTTTAGGAATTTTATTATTAATTTTATATTTCCTCTATTATACAACGCACACAAACTCATAGCCTCTCTTTTCTCTCTCCCTCTCTCTCTCTTTACAGGCTCCACTTGTGGCATTGAACAATTCCGTTGCGGCAATGGCAAATGCATACCCAACAGATGGCGCTGTGACAATGAAAAGGATTGTGCCGATGGCTCCGATGAATTTTCATCATTGTGCAGTAAGTAATCAAGTTTTGGGAATAAAATTTTCTTATTTTTTTTATTTTTATTTAAACCAACACATACACACCTGGTCTATGTTATGTGTTCGAAACATTTTTTATTTTTGTGATTTGTTTATATATTTTTTAATTTATTTTATATATAATTATTGTTTTTAATATTTTGTTTCCAAATTAGTGGTCTTCTGCAAACCATATGAAGTCACCTGCAGCAATGGCGAACAATGTGTTCCCCAGAGTTGGTGGTGCGATGGTAGTCCCGATTGTCGCGATAAATCGGATGAAGCTAATTGTCGTAAGGATTTTTTTCTTTATTACAACGTTGTGTTTTCTTGTGAAGATGTTAATACTAACTCTGTGAAAAAGATTGGGGAAATTTTCATAAGGATTTCGTTAAACCAGTAACAAAATTTATAAAAAATAAGAAGAAAAAAAAGAAAAAATTGGGATCTTTAAAAAAACAATGTTTTACTTTTTTTTAATAAAATGTAAGAAACAATTTTACCACTGAGTGAGGAATTAAAAATTAAAATATATATTTTTTTAATTTTTAAACACTGGAAAGTTTGAGCTTCGAACTGTTTTTATTCAGAGAACGTAAAAACAATGTGTTAGATTAAGAATTCCGAAGTCAATGGTCCATTTTATCCCATACTTGGTATATTGAACTACGGTGTGTATAATTATTATTGATTTAGAAGTACGAAATTGCGTACACTTGATGTCATTTTAATATATTTTTATACGCAACTCAGTCGGATGAGGCCGACCATGTGATACCCTACCCAACTACCACTGACGTTTAATATTCTATGGATCTTTATTCCGAACCTGGGAATTAATTCACGATATTTGTACCGTCTAGTGTAATAATGATAATACTGAAATATTGTAGTTTAATTTTTCTCCCAAAGCCGATTTTCTTCACTGGCAACATTTCAGGATAATGATTTCCCCGTGGCAAATTTATGATGTTCGACTTATAATTGTGGTCTCTAGAGTGACTCGAAAACCGAACAAAAGTAAAGTCTGGGTGCATTTGACCCAATAAATATTCATTGATTATCATGAAAGGTACCATGCTTATTCTTTGGCGAAATCTGCTTCCTCATGTAAAATTTCATGATATTCGAGTCCCAATAGCGGACAGAAAAAAAACTGAAAATAAAGTTTTTGATTTATTTGTTACCCTAAAATGTAAGCACTCATCAATATTTTGTGGTAGGGTCTTCAAAAATAGTTACTTTCATAGCTGGCTTGATTACAGAACGGTTTTTCCATTTCCAAGCGCGTCGGTGTTGTGCGCAAATCCACCAAGTTGGAAGACCACGTTCCAAGATGTTCTTTCCTACTTGGTCTTTCTATCTAATTCACGGCCTTCCCCTTCTACGAGAACCATTAGTAGGCTCGCTTTTATATACCTTCTGAGCTGGGGCATTCTCATTCATTCGCACAACATGGCCTAGCCACCGTAGTCGATGCATCTCAATACGACTGACTATGTCGATGTCTCCGTATAAATAGTAAAGCTCGTGGTTCATTCGACGCCGATATTCACCGTCGACGCAGATCGGCCCGTAGATCTTTTGGATAATTTTTCTTTCAAACACCCCAAGAGCTGCCTCATCCCGTTAGTGTTAGATCGCACCTTTGCTGCTACATTAAAACGGGTTCGTACCTTGGCTGCCACAATGTAATGGTCCGAATCGATATTCGCTCCTCGGATCGATCGGATGTCTAAAACACTGGATAAATGCCTTCCGTCTATCACCCCATGATCAATTTGATTTCTCATTGCTTGATCAGGAGAGATCCAGGTGGCCTTGTGTATATAGAGATGCTTTAATCTGGTGCTGCTAACTACCATGTTTTTTTGCTGCAGCGAAGTCAATCAACCTCATGCCGTTGTCGGATGTTTCTTCATGAAGGCTGAATTTTCCGACGGTGGGGCCAAAGATATTTTCCCTTCCGATTTTTGCATTCAAATCTCCTAGCAGAATTTTAATGTCATGTTTCATATACTGTTTCTAGGCGCTCGTAAAATATGTCTTTGGTCTGTTCATCTTTATTTTCTGTCCGAGCATGGGCGCAAATGAGACTGATGTAGAATAACTTTGCTTTTATACGGATTATAGCAATTTGCTGGAGACGAGGTCTTTTATTTTCCTGTTAACCATAAATCCGCAGCCAAATTCACGTCTCTTTCCATGACAGCTATAATACAGGGCGTAATCATCTGATTTACTTACGCCAGCCCCTTTCCATAGCATTTCCTGTAAGGCAATAATATCGGCTTTGTACTTCTTGAGTACATCCGCCAAAGCGAACACTGCGCCTGTTCTGTACAACGTGCGCACATCCCAAGTGCAGATTCGCAAATAGTGGTCCTTTATACGTTTGCGGGGGTCGTCAACATTAGGGGGGTTTGGTTTTCTTTTTCTGTGCTTTTTCATAGTAGGTTGGGTTTTCCGAGAGTGGGAAACTAACCCGACGCCGCAACCCATTTTTTATAGTTTTTATGAGTGAACTCGAGGGACATATTAGTTCACTATTTCATCGGGTGATGTAATTAGCCCCCCCTGGTGGCACCGCAGGTAGGTCAGTGTCCACAATTGAGATGAAAGAGGAACCAAGATAAGCCTGGACTTTGCCATGTTAAAGCCAATCAGAGCCGTTGCTTGGTATCTATCATCCCCTACGCCACCCATACGATGATACGATATTTAACTTTAATTGGGGTGTAGCTTTTTAGATGATTTAGATTTTGAAGGCACCAACAAATATTTTTTTGAAAAATCTACGCCTTGTTGAAGGCATCAAAAATTAATCTTTAAACAAGTGAAAAAGCTTTAAGTTCGGCCGAACTTTGGATACCCTCCACCATGTTATGTTAAAACCAATCAGAGACGTTGGTATCTATCATCCCCTACGCCACCCAAATACTTCTTCAAAAATACTTTTTAAAAATCCACGCCTGTGAGTAGGCCTTTAAACATAATTCTTAAAAATCCACGCCTCTGGATAGGTCTTTAAATGTAGGTATACCTTCAGAAAATATTATTAAAAATTTCACTTAAATTTTTATACATATTTAATCCTGAGAATAGTCTTTACAAAATATTTTTAGAATATCTATGTGTGCGAATAGACCTTTACTTTTTTACAATTGCTTCCTTATACCCGTCCCTCTCTATAACTCAGTTGGTCAAGTCTCTTTCAATGACATTTACCCCGCCCATAGACAATTTATATTTCACCACCTCTAGGAAAATTAAAATACCTTTATAATCATATCCACATTTCGCATTTATTTCATTCACACGTTCATATATATATATATATATCACACACATTGCTGCACAAAGACAAAGGACATTAGCTGCAATGACAATGTCAAGGCTGTTTATGATTTTTATATACTAAAAAAAATTACAGTGACTCATTCACTCACACACACACATAGACTCTGAAACAATTATTTGCAGACAAAAAGACTTTATCACAACAAAAACAACAGCAACGATGAAAAAAGTGAAAGCAAGTAGCAAACAAACAAACTGTATATGTCATATGTGTCGGTAACATAAGTCTATGTTTAAAATAATCATAATAATAAAATATAAACAAAACATTAGACTACCCGGCCTACCTCCTCCCCTTCCATTCTCCACAACAGCAGTCCAACCTCCTGTGTATATTAACAAAGAGTTAAGCTTTAGCAAACAACAACAACATCACGAACATTGTTAATATGTTTCCAACAGCAACATTTAACGTGAATGCCGGTTGGTGTCACATGCACATGCACACTCACACACACACCCACATGTGTGTACATGGCAAGGATATAGCCTTCACACACAGACGCATGTAGCCATGCACACTTTTCTTTTTTTTCTCGGCTCTCATATAGAATAATTCGAAAGTATTTAATGTGTCAGTGAATGTGACACCAAGTGGAAAATAAATGGCAACAACAGTACCACCACTTCCATCCCCTGGCGAGTGTCCCCAGCCACCAATGTGGTGTTGTGTTTATGACATTATCTAAAGTGAAAATATTTTGACGGTTGGTCTTAACTTTTCTTCTTTGGATTTTTTTCTTTCAAAAACAATTTTCACGTAAATTTTGTTTTGTAATTATTTTTAGAAATTTTCTTGCTGTAAAAAAAAGCGAAAATTATTAAAATGCGTATGAAAATTATTAATCAATAAATGTCAAGTATACGCACCCTGGATTGGAGAAGAAAAATTAATATTAATTATACGACCAATGGTAACCGATTCAATGTAATTAAATTTAAGGTCATAAAACCTATTTCGTAATAAAAAAAAACAGTAAGGGAAGTAATAAAGTCGGACTGGGCCGACAATATGATACCCTTCACCACTTTGGATATATTCTACATATGTATCCTAACAGACGACGCGTTTTCGTTATATATCTATATCTGAACCAATTCAGGGAAACTTGCCAGAGACTAATTTATATTACACCAGACCTTTTCACGAAGCTTAGCAACATCATTCTGGACTTAATTCAGTACTCTATTCCAAAATTCGTGCAAATCGAAAGATATATAGGGACTTTGGTTACATAAAAAATCCGACGAAAATATATACGGAAGCTATATGTAAATCTGAATGGATTTTCACAAAAACTTAGCTCACGTCATTCTAGCGTTAATTCAGTACGCTATGCCAAAATTCGTGCAAATGAAAAGATTTCCAAGGTTTCGGTGCACCAAATACCAAAAAAGGGGGAAAGTATATATACGAGCTATTTCTAAATCTGAACCGATTTTCATGAAACTTTACAGACATCATTCTCCATCTTATTCATTACGCTGTGCCAAATTTCGTGCAAATCGAAAGATATATAGGGTCTTTGGTGCACCAATTACCTTAATTCGGGCGAAAGTATATATGGCAGCTATTTCCAAATCTGAACCGATTTTCATGAAACTTGACAGACATCATTCTCGATCTTATTCATT